CACACACTAAAATAACAAAAAAGTCATCTAAATATGAAATCATACTACTATGTCAGAGACATACCATCAATGTATGTTTTCTCTGTCATATTTCCACACTTGACCTATAGTTCTTCTTCCATCAAATGATTCTTGTGTAGAAACTTCGGCAATAGAGATGTTGCAAATTTTTAGATGCCTTATTTCAAGTTCTAAAGAGATTCAAATCTTTACTTGCATTTTTTGTATTTTAAGATTAGAAATTATGATAAATAATTCTCATTTGTAATTAATTATATATAAGAGTTAATCCTTTAGTTTAAATTTTAGAAGTCAACAAAGGTCTCGCTTATCTTTAAGTGCCCTAGTTCATGTCTTGGAGAGATTCATCTTCAGTGATAGAGGTGTTTGTCGTCTTCAATTTCACTACGTGCATCGTCCATTTTCTTGATCTATGTTCATCTTTTTTTTTTCCTTTCAACAAGGGGCAATATTGTTATTTGGCTGTGAAATTTAATCTCAGATCAGTGCCCCTATCCTGCAGTGATATATCAGTATTTTTTGAGTTTTTTTTTATTATGTGCAGTCAAAGAGTCTTGATTGAAATTTTTCTTCTTTTTTTTTAAGTCATTTCATTTCATTATTCTCTGATAAGCAAATGGTGCATAACTTCAACAATGTATCTTGCACAAATTAAAGTGCAATCTAGTCATCTTGATTGGGGGGTGGGAGGTAGACGAAGAAACAAGGAACATTCATAATATAAATTAGATAGCTAATCAATCGTGGAGTTATTAGAGATGATAAAGGCAACTGAATTAAGGATTTTTCTAAAAGCATTGGCTATCTTCCCAGCACTATTGCAGAGCTAATAGGAATCTTAGAAGGTCTCAAACTTTGCTGGAATGCCCAGATCCCTAAAGTCAACGTTTACTCTGACTCTATAGAGGCCTTATCTCTAATTAACCAGAGCAATACTCATAATCACCCCTATTCAGTCATCATCAGAAACATAAGAGATATTACCATGCGTAATTGAGAGATAACTTTTGAGCACGTTTTTAGAGAAGCTAATAGATGCGCTGACCTTATGGCACACAAGGCGTCACTAGATAATCTCGATATTTGTCTTTTTGATATACCGCCAATTGATTGTATAAGCCTTATGGCTTCTAACCTTACTTGATCTCGATCATGCACGGCTTTACTATGGCCTTTTATTCAAAAAAAAAAATCGTGGAGTATCAAAACAATGATGCGCTTGTTTAACAATAGAGTTGTAATTAAAAAAAATCATTCAAAAAAAAAGAATTATAACATACCATAAGAAGGGGAAAAAATCTTGAGAAAATAAATTGTGAAGAATTGCAAAATTGTTAGCTGATGCACTTAAAACAAAGAGGGGCAAGAAAAAATTTAAAAAAAAAACCCATCCATAAAAGTGGTTGAATAAGGCTTTTTAAGTAATAATACATTCATAATGATATTATACAATCTATATAATTGATCCTATATATTGAGATAAAGCTTATTGTTGAATAATTTTTTTTTGATGGAATAATTTTTTTGGTGTTGAATTAATTTGTACAATTTGGTCAGGGGTCAAAGTGGTAATTTCGCTTCAAAATAAGAGGACAACGTGCCCTTAAAGTCAGCATATGTGTCACGTGATCCCCACCCGCCATCTAACTCACAAACCACCGCGCCGCAACCCAACGAAACCCCCACCCCGAAATCCTCGCGTCCGTATCTTAAATAACCATGAACCACCCCGCACGATATCCGACCTACACGCGCGCATCATCTTATGGCATATGATGGTTATGATATGACGTGTACTAACTACTAAGTGACAGACACACACCGTTTGGTCAGATAACGGAACGCCCCCGATATGTCAACTGTCGGTGGTAATACCGTCATTTCACATCCCTACATTTAGCTCACACTTCACGCTTTAGCCTGCAGTGTTTTGAACTTTGATCCGAACGTCAAATTAAGAAAATAATGAGTGACAATTTTTATAATTTAATTAATTAGATCGACAGTTATATCAATAACATAAAAGTTAAATAAAAAATAATATTTAAATGTGTAATTATATAAGTAAAATATTAATTTATTAATGGTCTTTGGAAAGGCTAAATGCCTGAATCGTTGGAGTTAAAGGCAAAGTTATGTCAACACAATCTTGTGATCTCGAAGGAAAACATTGGAACTAGAGGCATGCCGTCATGTCACGACTCACAAGCTTCCAATCTCGATATCAAAGGTTAGATTGCTAAAGCTAAAGGTATAGGTTGGAGAAGAAATTAAAGATTGAGCCTGAATCATTGAAGAGAGATTAGAGATTAAAGAACATAAGAAAAGAGAGAATTAGTTATTAAAGAACAGAAATCACGAATCTAAGCGACTTACCCTAATTTTTTTATTTTTTTGGCTTTGAACTAGGTTGACTTGAGTTGATCCGGCTCCAATTTTTGAGCAAAGACAATTCTCTCAAAACTGGCCGAGTCAATTCGGGTCAACCCGATTCAAATGCCATATTAGTTCAACTGGTTGAACCAAATCGTTTTGTTCAGCGGGTGGCGGTCGGACCGTCCAATCCGATTTCAACAACACTACTTACAAGTAGGTGGTTTGTGTGTGTATAAAAACTTATATATTTAATTTTGAAAAAATATACTTTTGATTCTTACACTTTGCTCGTACTTTACTATAAATCTTTTCACTTTTTGATGTTTTGGATCCCTATACTTTCATTTTTTGGTGTTTTAATTTCTTAAATGAATAAAATGAACAAAGTATAGAAACCTTGAATGAATATAAAATACTAAAAAATAAAAGTGTAGAGACATAAAATATTAAAAAAAATACAAGAACATACAGTAAAACACGAGCAAAGTGCAATGACTAAGCACTAAAATATATGTTTTTCCTTTAATTTTTTGTATTTAAAATGTTTATTTAAAATTAAATTATAATATGAATATTTTTTTATATATTACTTTTTGTATAATAAACTCTAATTATTAATATTATTAACATATTAAAATTCACTTTCCTTAATTTAATTAGCTAAAAATATATTAAATATATAAGGTTAAGTTTATAAATCTTAACTCTATATATATATATATGTTAATATTGGGAGGAGGGGAAATCAAACTATTCCTTTTTTTTTTTGAAATATTGGGAGCCTGAAGTTTATTTTTAATTTTCAATTTAATTTGAATATTTGATGTTTTTATGAACTTGATTTCATTCCATTTAATTTAAGTGAAAATCAAGAAAAATTATTAAACGCTTTTCCAATTAAAATATTTTTTCATTTTATTAATTTAATTTGAATTTATTCATTTTTGAAGTGATTTTTTATTTTCTGAATCTTTAGTAACAAATAGTTTAATTTCTGGATGTTTAGTTTAGTGATGTTTTTACCTCATTGTAGGTATTTAAAATTTAATTAACGGGAAATAAAAAAGTCCAAAAATAAAGTGAGCCTCCTGTCACAACCTATATTCAAATATGAGAGAACTTGCAAGGTTGTGGAACTTTTGGAGACCTCCAGAATAACGGAGAGAATTTCAGAGCTTTCAACAAGGGTCCAATATGTTCTAGAATGTTCTAGAGGCATCTAGAACAATCTAGAATTATCTAGAGAAATCTAAAAAGAACTAGAAGTTTCCAGAAATTTATGGAGGAATGTGAAAATATCTAGAATATTCTAAAATATTCTAAAATATTTCACACATATTTTAAAGGATAGTCTCTAGAAACTTTTTTGTAAATATCTAAATATTTGTTGTAGATATTTCTATAGAAATATCTAGAGATAGAATGTACACTATTATATCAAATCAATCCCAACCGTCCATTAAGGAGGTGGAAATTTTCTAGAGAAAGGGGGAGGCCTATAAGTACCCCTTCACCTCTCATTTGTAAAAAAGCAACCTAAGCAAACCAATAGAGCTCTCAAGTTCATTTACTCAAGTTTTCTACTCTCTACTTGTGCATCTAGCTCTCTTAGTCTCTTTGCCTACTTGTGGGATTCGGCTGACTTAGCAAAGATTAAGAGGGGGATCAAGCTAAAGCTGGCACGGTTCAAGAAAAGGGAGTTCCAAGGTCGTGACACTTCGCTCTCAACTCATCTGAATTTTCTTTTACCCAAAAGAAGTACTATTGTTTGATTAATGTATCCAATTATTACAAGAAAAGTCAATAATTTGGTTAAGTTCAATTTTAATTAATGAGACTAATAAATCAAATGAAATTTGAAATCAAAATAATTAAATCTATCATGTCTTCTACAAAAAAAATTTGACTTAATTTTTTGATTGCATTATAGTTAGACAGATCAATTAATTTGGTTTAATTTCATGCTTATCCAATATCATCTTCATCTCAAATTATAGGATAAGTTTAGAGATATTTTATTATCTTAAAATATAAAATAATTTAATAAAAATAAGGTTTTCTTTTAATGAAGCTATTTTAATATTACATTTCCTTTTATATTATCTCTCTTTAATATTTTATTTAATAAAAGATATTTTAAAACTTTATTTTTGTATTTGAAAACAATAAGATTGTAAAGTATCGTTATTAAATTACAAAATAATATCAATATCAAATTTTATTGATATGTGTAGTATTGTATTAAAATTATTTTATAATTTAAAATGAAATGAGCAATATTTATGTTTAAATTATAAGTAGCATTTTTTTAATATTCTTTATTAAATTTTAGCTAGATGAATAAATTTTGAAAATTTGTATGGAATCAATCCAAATCTTCAAAGTTAAAACATGATGAATAGTATAACGTCGATACTTACTGTGACACAGGAAAAGTAGTAAAAAAAAAAAAAAAAGAAGAAAACCCAAAGGCCAGGCCGGGCCAACTTTAGTTAAATCCGTATACTGACTTGTTTTGGATTTCATTCAGTAAAATAATAATAATTTAATTGGATTGGATTAGATTTCTTGTTAGCTAATAAATAATAATTAAGCTAAGGATTTATATGTCTCAGATTCGCTCTGGGTTGGAATTAATACAAGCGTTGAGTCCGTGCATTTCAGAGTCAGAGGCTGTGTGGGAGACAAAGTGAGAAAAGGAGGCAAATCGTGGAAGGAACAGGATCTGACCCCATCTTAAGAGATATTTGAACAAGGCGGTGAGTTTCCTTTTGCGATCTTCGATTTAGGCCACGCCTTGTACTCTCCTTGAAGGTGCCTTGAAGTAAATTTTTTATTTTCTAGCCCTTTGCCCTCCAATTTCATCATGAAATTTCTATGAAGTTTTGTTACTGTTTATATTTTAGTTGAGATTGGGCTCTTGGAAGTTTCGAGACTTCGATTTTTGGGTCCTACTAGTAGTTTCCGATGAAGTTTCTTCTGGTTCGTTCTGTATCACCGTTGGAAGTGGTCGTTGTTTCTGGTGGGCTTCTTGTGAAATTTTCGTTCCGTTTTATTAATGTTCTTAGAGGGTAACGAAACCTTTTGAGTCTCCTTTTCTGATTTTATTTTCTGCACTTCTTGATTGATGTCTATCGGTTTTGATGGTTCTAAGAATAATTTTTTCTTATTTCATGAGTTTTCTTGTTGAACGCTTTATACACTTTTTCTTCCCTTCCCTTTTTTGTGTTAAACAGTTTTGGGTCTCGGAGATTGTAGTAAGCTGGTCTGATATCGGTTTGATCTTTCTCAGATCTTTGTATTATCTCAGCGTTAAGAAAAGAAACTTAATTTGGCTCTGAAGTTCTATATTTCAGGTCCGGTATCTTTCTTGCCTGCACGGATGCATTTCTAATGTCTTTTTTCTTGCGTGCTTGTGCTTATCCGTGCGTGTAAGAGTCAATCATCCAAGAGCTGATCATATATACCCTCAATGATATAAAGGAAGAGTGAAGAGATCTTAGAATTTGGGCAATTAGATTACCTTTTCTGTTGAAATGATTACCAAATAGTGGAGCCATATCTCATTTGCTTTGTCTTTCTCATATGCTTGATGTATTAACTATGACGACTACCTGTAGTTTGTTCTTTTGCCCTTTTTTCCTATGTCGTGAAAAAGTTGGTTCAAACAAAATCCTTGTGATAAGATTCTTATTTGGTTTGATTGCTCCAGTCGGAGGTTAGATTGAGATTCAAAATCAGGTTTAAAACTTGCCAAAAGATGTTTCTTACAAAAGTGTGGTATTTTGGGTTGCTTTAGTTCCAGTGAGATTTCTTTATAAGAATCTCTCTCTCTCTCTTTTTTAAATATTCCTTCCGCTTTGTGCTTTTCCCTATCTCTGTTCCTTCTCTTTTTTGTCTTAATCTGTAAGAATTGAAGCGGGACTTTAAATTAAAGTTTGCTTGACTTGCAGTTCTTCAGCAACCTAAAGCTTATGAATTGTGACTCAGAAAACTGGGTGGAATATTTTTCTTTGCGTCAAAGTTGCTGACATATCAAATTCTGGGGCTGTGAGTGTATTGTAGCAAATGTCCTTCCGCAGTATAGTTCGTGATGTAAGGGATGGGTTTGGGAGCTTATCAAGGCGGAGTTTTGAGGTGAGGCTTCCGGGCCATCATAGGAGGTCACAAAGCTCAGTACACGAGTTGCAGGTTGAAGCTCCAGTTATACAGAACAGCCGGTGGGCTAGCCTTCCACCAGAGCTTCTTCGTGATGTTATCAAAAGATTGGAAGCAAGTGAGAGTACATGGCCTGGTCGTAAAAACGTAGTTACTTGTGCTGCTGTGTGCAAGTCCTGGAGAGAAATGTGCAAAGAAATTGTGAGCAGTCCAGAGTTCTCTGGGAAGATTACTTTCCCTATTTCCCTAAAACAGGTGAGATTTGATACCCCCCCACTCAGCATCTTCAATAGAATTGCTTATAGCTTAAAGCAAATATGGAGTGTGACATATTTTCTTTGTTCTTATGTGATTTTTTATTTTTTTTATTTTTTTTAATAGCCCGGATTCAGGGATGGAACCATCCAGTGTCTCATCAAGAGGGACAAATCTAATTTGACATACCAACTTTCTCTCTGCCTTAGTCCTGGTAGGCTAACATTTTTACTCTTTTGTCTCCAATATTTATGAGTTTAACATGATCACTTCGTTTTTCTTGGAATTTTAATACAATCTTATTTAAGTTTTCTCTTAAATATGATGTAATTTATTAGAGAGTAGTTGCTGTCTGATATGATAGGCTGATATATTTTAATTATATGCATTTTCCCTTGTCAACCTTTGATGGGCTTATCTTTGATGTCTAATTTGTTACTTTAATATGTTTATTTGCTGCTCAATTTGTTATGTTGCTACTTAAATTTCCCCCTTTTTTCCCTAACAAGCTTAAATTTCCATCTAACATGACGGAGAATGCTATGATTTTTCATTTTTGTGAAATCCTAGGAGGCCTTATCCTGGTTGAATTGGAAGTGAGCTCAATCCATTGTCTGAACTGTAAATTTTGGTGGTATTACATAAATGAAAAAGAAAAAAAAAGGAATTTGTACGCATATGTATATAGGTGAAAATCTTCTTAACTGAATTTTCTATTATGGTTCTTTAAATTGTGGTAACTAGGTCTTTCCAATTGTCCTTTTTCTTTTTTCTGACAGTGGTAACTTTGTTAAGCCTGATTAAGGCTTCATAAAATCAAGTCAATGTTTGTGCAATTTTGTTACTTGGCCAATGTGACTTTTGGTCCAGTTACATTTATAACCTTCTAGCGTTATCAGAGACTGATTCCTTTTATTACTATTTTCCTGACTGCTTGCAAGATATTTAACTCTCAATTTTCTGGGAAGAAACCTCTCATTGCCCCTCAAAATCAGCATTGCTATTTATCGAGCAGGAAATTCATCCGTGATTCTGTGTTAGTAAAAACATTTTCTTACTTAGTAAAATGGTAGTATGTAAACTGGGCATTTCAAAGGTCAAATAGTTTCAGCAGTTCCTTGTTATTAGCTTTCAGTTTTTACCAATCTTTTTTGTTGTTAAAAACTTAGGTATGCATTCAACAATTGCAAGTTCCTGGTTCTCTCTACCTCTGACATGTTCTGATTTCAACATTGTTTTCCTACAGCATTGCTCGTTGACAATGGGAAGTTTCTTTTATCAGCGAAAAGAACTAGGAGAACTACGTGCACAGAGTATATTATATCAATGGATGCACATGACATGTCAAGATCTAGTAGTAGGTACATTGGAAAACTGAGGTATGTGCTTGGATTTAGCTGATAGACCTGAAGCACATTATAGATATCTTCCACCTGTCAATTTACAAGAGAAATCCCTTTATATTCCTGGCTTTGTGAACTTATGCTTTATTAATTTTCGATTGCATCAGGTCAAATTTTCTTGGCACCAAATTTATAATTTATGATACTCAGCCTCCCTACAATAATTCTCAGCTGTCTCCCCCTGGCCGAAGCCGTAGGTTTTATTCAAAGAAGGTTTCTCCGAAAGTCCCAAGTGGCAGCTACAATATTGCCCAAATCACTTATGAGCTTAATGTGCTAGGTACTAGGGGACCTCGACGGATGCACTGTACCATGTATACTATCCCCACATCATCTCTCCAGCCTGGTGGCATTGTCCCGGGCCAGCCTGAGCTTCTTCCCCGCTCCCTCGAGGATTCATTCAGAAGTATATCCTTCTCAAAATCGATTGACAATTCAACTGAGTTTAACAGCTCGAGGTTCTCAGACATAATGGGTCCCGGAAACGAAGAGGAGGAAGTTAAGGAGAGACCGTTAGTTCTTAAGAACAAGGCACCAAGGTGGCATGAGCAGCTGCAGTGTTGGTGCCTAAACTTCCGGGGGAGGGTGACCGTTGCATCTGTCAAAAATTTTCAGCTGATTGCGGCAACTACACCACCCGCAGCCGGTGCCCCAACACCAGCACAGCCAGCGCAGCCATTGCAGTCTGATCATGACAAGATTATTCTTCAGTTCGGCAAGGTTGGGAAGGACATGTTCACAATGGATTACCGATATCCCCTATCAGCGTTTCAGGCTTTTGCCATTTGCCTGACCAGCTTCGACACAAAACTGGCTTGTGAATAGTGACATTAGAGAGATATGGTAAGAAACAAAGAAGGGAAAGAAAAAAAAAAAAACAAAAGAATTCAATCTTTACATTTAGGCATTTATAGGATGAAATCGTATGCAGCTGTTGTACACCCAATAGTTTAATAACTGTAAAGTACAGGTCACTCTGTGCTCTTCCTTTTTCTTTTGGTCTCCTTTTTGATTTAGTATGCACTGCCTTTGTCGAACTGTGTTGTTATCCTCGTATGGTCCATGGGGATGAAGGTGTAGACTCTGTATGTTCGGATGTAAAGAAAATTTAGTTGCAAATTTAGCGTTTGCTTCTTATGGTCAATAATTTTGATTTGTCCTGCCAGACTTCGGTTGATTGCATGCCATTTTTAAAGAAAAAGTTATATATATATATATATATATATATGACGATTTAAAGAATGCGTTGTATTGTTTACAATATATATGTTGTATAATTTGATTTGAATTTTATATTATATATATGTTGTAAAAGTCAAACGAACTCATGCGCAGCAATTGCGGCGTGCAACTTAATGCCCCCCTTTCCCTGCCTTGTTTTATATTCGTGTTAAAAAATGTAAGACTTTGTAATTGAATTTTATCACAATTAATAGTTATTCATTTTAAAATTAACATTATTTTTTATATTTATTTTTATTTAATAAGATATTTTATTTTAAAATAAATATAAAGTAATTTATTTAATAAGAATAATTTAAAAAAATAATAATTATATCTTAAAAAATTAAAAATATTTTATATTTTTACACATTCAATTTTTTAAAAAATATTTTATATTTTTGCACATAAGAAGCATATAACAATAGGGTGTTTAACTTACGCTTCAAATGGCTTTTATGAGTACTGATGCATTATTTGAAAAAGTAACGGTAGTTAATGGTTTTGTTGTTTGGTGGCATGTAAATTCTTTGGTAGAAGACAGCATGGGATTTACAAAACGCGCGTTTAAGGCATTTGAACGGAAAACAATCAGCTTTAAAAAGTCATGCCCAAACTTATTAACGTGGCTCCCTTTGTGTTCCTCCCTTGCGATCATTGCACTTGTTATTCGTTAGTATAATGATCGGCCTGCGGATTCTTTAATGCAAGTTGCCTTTGTCAACTTTGAAACTTCAAAATGCCACAGTTTTTTTTTTTTTTTCTTTTTGATAGAGAAAATGCCACCGTTTTGTAGTGCGCAACTACAAGACAACGCCCAAAAGGGGCTAGATTAGTGGCACTCGGTTGAATTCCAAGATTGGTTTTGGGGAAAGTTTCAGTCAGCCTTCATTGAGCCAGTCAACCCCTCCAAAACTCTAAAATTTCTTTGCACGCGTACGGTCTAAAAATGAAATTAAAAAGATAACTCAAATGATTTTATTATCCTTGATAAAATTGGGCTTATAAATAACTTGAACAGAAAAATTTAACAAAGTATGAAAAATCAACAATTGATGTGGGTGGAATTCACAACTCTCATTAATAACATAAAATCAATATGAATTTATAACTCTCATTCCATCAATGTTAGCTGTTGATTTTCTATATATTAATTGTTTATATTTTCTATGTGAGTTATTCATATATTTAGCTTCACTTGTTTATATTCATAGTGATTGTATACTATTAATGAGTGCTGCAAATTCCATCTACATCAGTTTTTTATTTTCCATACATAAGTTGTTTATTTCAATAAAGATAATAAGGTCATTTAAATTAGCTCTTTAATTTCATTGAAGTCCCCCACATGTACAATTAAATTTCAAAGTTTTAGTGGGGTTGACTGAAATTAAGTTGGATCATGGGGGATTGATTGAAATTTTCCTTTGATTTTACCTGCAATGTTGGGAGTTGGAATCTCTAGAGCACCCTTAGAAAAGAGGTCTACCTAACCACATGCCATAGTATTCGAACTAACCTCTTAATCAGTTTATTGATCAGTTTGGTTTTCAATAGCTTATCATAAGCTAGAACCTTGATTTAGATTAGTCATAGTGGATAGTGGCCCTATTGATATCAAATACAAAATAAAATAAAAGCAACTACCTCTATTCTTATATATAATATGTTTTTAACCGAATTATGTAAATCAATAAAAGTTAGTTTTGTATTTAAAAACACATTAATATTTTAATTTTACCTCTAATTATTGTAAATAAAAAATAAATCTCCCTTTTTAAAGTAAATTTATGAGTACTTATCATTTTTCAATTCTAATCTAATAAGAGTATAATGGTTCATTTATTAAAAAATATGTTGACAGTCTCTTACATTTAGGGACAAAAGAAAAGTTCTAAAAAAAAAATTTATATACAGGGATAGAGGGAGTACATGACCAAAATAAAGGGTTAAGTCACATTTGGTCTATCCTCGGACATCTGACAGCATTTGGAAGGAATTGCAGGGATAAAGACGGTCATCCAACTCTGAGAACTTTTAGCAAGGAAATCATCACGTTTGATAATGTCTATTTGAGCATGCAGAATGTCTACACCCAGGTGCCATAGATGATGTCTCGGTCTCAGCTAGTTTAAGTTAGTTAAGCAAATTATATTTGTAGCAAAACATAATTATTTTTCTCAATTAATGGTTGGCATTCCTTTTTATGCTTATTTCTTGTTTCCTTTCTTCGCATGAGGCCTCATGTTCCGAACCCTATTATAAGCATTTCCGACCCTCCCTTTGCTTGAATACTTCTGCTCTTTCTGCTTGCCATGATGTGCAGGAATTTTCTATCAGATGATTTCAGAGAAAACTCCGGCAAGCTTGGAATCTTAGGAGCCACAATTTGTGGTGGAAGGACATTCAGGAGTGTACTACCTATCTTCTTGCAAAACGAGGAGGACAGAGATTTCGTGGTCAAGAATGGTCTTTGGTCCATTTTCAACTCTCTGGTTGTCTTGGATTGTTGGATTCCTAACATGTTCCAGGAGATTCAAATCGCATCCTCTGACTCTTGGTGCATTTTTAGGGACAACCTTTGCAATACCACCACAAAGATGTGGTTGAGACCTTAGGTTATATTGTTGGATCTGCTGCTATCCATCAAGGAAGTGTCATTTATTCTACTTCACTGAACTTTGTTGTGTCGGAGTTCCTATCAATTCTTGCCTTCCCTATATTCAAAATATATGTCTGGAACTTGGCAATCGGTAAGAAGTTTGGGTTGAATGCAGATATGAGCGTATTTCCAGATGTTGCAGCTACTGCAAGGTTATTGGTCATACTGTCAATCAGTGTGAGAGAAATGTTGATGAAGTTTTCACTGGTTTTGACATGGTCACCAACAGAATCAAACACTGTTTCAGTACTCTAGTCGCTTGCAACTTTGAACTAAGCCTTGCCGGCCGGACTTTATTGGTAGCACTGGATCAGAACACATCAAACTAAACCTTGAGATATTTTGGAGGGGATCAAAATTATTGTAAGGTTTTTGAAACAAAACCTGCAAGATATTCTTCTTGGTAATCATGGACCACATGGTCACATCCATGTCTTCTTTTTTCTTTCTTTTTTTCTTTCTTGAATACATTGTCATGGAGAATCATGCAAGAAAAAGAAATCAAGACATGTTATGACTCATAAGTATTCAGCATTTGGGGGTGGATTATCAAAAATAAAAATATCAAAGTTGTTGTTTAACGCTTGATGAGCAAACTAATCCATATATTTATTGGCTTCTCTAAATATATGGTTGAAAGTAATCATGCAATCCATCATGGCAAGATTTCTTATCTTTTTTATAGTTTTCATGAGAGGGTGGTTTGGGTGAGGTTGTGCTGAATAAGTGTCAAAACTTTAGGAGAGTTAGAGTAAATGTTTACATTGATGAATTTGTAGTTCCACCAAAAATTGAGACCCTCAAGAATATGTAAAAGTTCAATGACAATATTAGGGTAATAACCAAGGTAATTGAATTTTTTTTTCACCTAATTTCTTTTGCTATCACGAATGTAACTTCAACAAGCAATAGCTCCATTGATAAAGACCGATCGAGCTATTACTTGTTTGATGATGATAATTACAATGATGACAATTACCCTCCGCAAGTGGTCCTTAACCTTAAAGCCTCAAGATGACTTCCTTTTTCAAGCTGCTGACCCACCTAATAATTTGGAGGAAATGTAAAATATGATAAATGAATTATTCATCGTGAGATGGGGGATTTATTAGAGTCGCAGAGTCCTTTACAAGGTTTCGGTTTAGTTCCTTTAGTTACACCTTCTCTTGATCACTCAACATCCCCATCTCTCTTAAATATTTCATCTATACTATTAGCCCCTGATGTGTAATATCCTCCAAATACAACGGACCGAACACTTTGACATACTATCATGATAATAAAGTTTTAAACGTATAATTAAATATTACTACAATAGAAAGAAGTGAAATCATTTATAAAACGTTAGCCATAGTAAACAAGAATTAAACTACACTGCTTGAAGATACTATTGTTAATAGTCAAACCACTTAGCTTCTTTATAAATTCAAAAATTACCCTACCATGGTAGAATAGCATCTGCCATGATGGATAGAGTTTTACTTCCCTAAAACAAGCTCAAAACCAACATATATCCTATTATGGCATAAAAGAATCAAATCCAATAGAAGACTACCATAGAAGAAATGATTTATCTAAATAAACAATTAATTATTGAAACTAAGCATGGTAAAAATGAAAAGTCGACTCGTTATGAGAGCACCATGGTTAAAAGAATACAACCTATACATTTAATTAACTTTCATATAACACAGATGTGTTTGGGCACATTTGAGGCCCATCCACAAACATATAATTCGTCAAAGCCTGTCGAAAACATTCTAGACCACGATTCATAGCCAACATCCATAATAAAATGGTGCACAGTCAATTTCCATTGTCCATGCAGTATAGTGGAACTACAATTTAATCAAACACAACCCTAGGTCTCAGACCTTGTTTAAATAGCACATTCCTAGAGTATAGAAAACAAACCAATCAAGTAATTCATGGAAATTGTAAAATATCTAAAGTATATGAAACATCCTAGACCCTAGCTTGATGGCTAACCGTCATATTTCATTGTACGATAGACATTAATTCATTTTTCAATAGCTACAATCTTATATCATATCATTCTTCTTTGCAAATCCCAAGCCTCCTTCAATGTGGTGGCTTCCCTGATATGCTCCATCTGATATTATATCATTCTTCATGTGGTGAGGTAGTTTTGGTCCTTATAATGATCTCCTAGAGATCTTGACATAGCAAGCATGACACCATGTAGGTCTTCCACATGCTATAGTTATTGTTATTTAATT